AAATTTTACCCACTGCCGCCTCAAATTAGCGTCTTTTGGAAACTTATGCATAGTATGGCCTGTTTTGTTCGAATTACTGCAAAACTAAACAAACATGTGCTTATTTCACAACGTGTTCAAGAAAGACCTTTGACTTCCCGTAACTTAAGGTCCACCCGTGACGTCATTTGCTAGATTGCGCAATTCAAGATGGCGGATGTTTAGAGCTTTGAAGCGATTTTTCAACGTAAAAACGGGCTAAAGTGAACAAAAGATCTACAGATTTGGCTGATGTCATGTATGTACTAAACGACTATGTGGTCCCCAAAATAGCATTTTTTGGGTTTACATGCCCTTTAAATTACTGTAAAAAAAATTCTCCAACAGTTAACAGCCTTCAGGATACCACTTAAGCAAAGCTCCATGGTGCTATGTCGTCAAAATCACATTTAAAGGAACCAAAATCCGAAATTCGTTTATTTGCCGCTGGAGAGATTAAATGGAATAATAATGCAAATATGAGAAAAAGTAAATAACTGCTGACAACTCCATATCGTTTAATCGATTTTAAGTCGCTTTAAAAGCCTTGTCGGTTGGTTTTATATCAATTCAATGATCTCCTGTGCATTAAAGAAAGATCATGTTATTTACAGAAATGTCGTTTTAGATTATTTCCGAGCAATTAGTTTGAACATCTGGACTTTCTAATGTATGGAATTTTTGGAAATTAGAATGTTAATTATGACCATGCATTCACCTTCAAACCTGTTCAAAGGACGTACGTTTTACTAAATGAACAAGCGATTTCTGTATATTTACCTCTGTACTTATTGAATTTGTTTTTCGAAAAATAATTTCAGCAGCGTTAGAACGGAGTGCTTTTTCTTCGGGAGCAAAAATAAGCATCTCAAAAGGCTTACCTATTTGAAATTAATATTAGTTCGTTATTTAAATCTAAAAGCTTTTCATTTGTACACCGCGGTTATGTTCCGATGTACTCGGTCACGCTTCATTAAAAGACGTGGCGGAATAATCAATTGATATAAATGAGTTTTTCGTTGGAAAAATCCACCCGTTAGTTCATTTCAAACCATGAAAAAACCAGTAATGAGTGTTACTTTTTTTCCTTGACTCAAAAATGAGTGGTTGCTAGTGGTTACTGAAGTTCTTTGATGGAATTTTAGTGCTTAGTTCAAGTCTAAATAATCAGTCACGTTACAAACAAAGATTAAGTGAAAATAAATATATATTTTTAGGAAAAACTAGTTCCACATCAAGTCACTATAAAGACAGAATGCGAGACCAAAGACTTTTGTTCACATTTTGCACGTTAAGTTTTACTGTAATTTTTTCCTCTTTTCTGTACGTTACATGGATCAACTCATTATAAATTCCCAAGAAAGGTAAGAATAATGGAGAGTTAATTTCCTCTCTTGTTATATCGTTGCAATGACTTATTCTTTCTAAGTACAACGGAGGGACTAACAACGAATTATATAATATTGTTAATTATGCCTTGAGTCTGGTTAAGAAATTTTTTGACAAAATCCCAATACGTATTCTTACCAGTTGCCGGGACTGGATCTCGTTAACGAAAGAGCATTTTACAAAGATCTGAGGGACAATATAACGTGGCTCATCGCGGTAAGAAGTGAAATGTAAGACTTACATGACTAAGTTACTGTGCAATTGCAACTCGTACAATTTGGGCAAAATTGAGCTCACGCAAAATGATTTTCTTGCGTTGACAACACCATGTTTTCAATATAAACATTAAAGTACACGATTGAAATGAGAGAGTTTATCTCATCTAATGCATAAACGTTGAAGTAATTTAAACAGTTGATTAAAGTTCTTTTGTGGCAGAGTAATTGTATCAAAGACCAGAACTTAACAATTACACTGTGAGCGCGAGATTTTCACCATAGTTAACGCTGAGCGCGGTCAGCATGTGTCCTATCAAAGCCGATAAGATAAGAAACAACAGCCTGCAGGCTTACTTTTTTAGCGAAATTAAGTAGCTAATTGCAAGTCGTGAAAATAATTTTACGTATTTCACGTTTTGTTGCTTTTATTTGTTTTCATATTTACTGTATACGATTAAGAAACCTTTTAGTCCTGTCACGGCATGATTGTAAAAGTGAGTCTTAAATTATAACGGAGAACGGTAAACAGATTCCACTTGTACTGCGACGTCATGTGGGAAATAATTACGGTATCGTCAGGTTCACAACAAAAATATCAGGGACCGACTTTCCGTTGTCTCGAGGCCAGTTTCTTTTTGGTTGTTGTTGTTGTTGTGTTTACCTCAATTTGACGTTATCTGTTTATCCATACAAGGAGGCTTAAGAAAACCACGGAGGCATCACCGCTGTCTCACGAAAAGGAAGATTAATGTGCAAACAATTGCTTCGCATTCGCGATTACCATTTTGGTAGATTTTGAAGCTGCTTTCTACAAAATCGCAACAAAGAAATGACTAAATTCTGCCTATTTTTGAAGAAGTTTAACCACGATGGCTATATTTTTTGTGTTTCTATTTGGATTTGAACGCAGTCTTTACATATTTAGTTTGTGTAAGCGTCTAGACCGACAGATGTACTGTATTGAACATATCTACATGACAAGAAAATTCGGAAGTTTAATTTACATTCATTTCTTTTCTTAGGTTACGTACTCGGTTCTTCATTTTAAGTTCCCTTATATGTGAACAGAAAACTGCGAAATGGAGTATATATATTTGTTAAATAATGGCCGCGAAATGGTCTGAATGCGGCTGTCAAACCAGATTTGATGATTTCTTCAACTGACGAGTTGAAGATTTACTCCTCTTGTATTTACTCTGAACAGAAAATGTAAATTAATGTCCCTCTTTTGTGCGATGTATTTTTACTGAGCTCTGGTATAATATGCCACATGACCACACCGGTCCTATTCTTTTGACGTGGAAAAAAAAAAACAAACCGAGCTTAACTTGTTCAGGAGCAAGTTGTAAGTGACGCGGACCGTCGATTTCGGGCCCTGTACACACTACGCCAGAGAAATTTGAAAATGCAGCTTTATTTCTACGGTTAGGCCTACCGTCCACACTAATCCGTCACGAAAACAGAACTTTTCGAAAACGCCCTTCAAACCGGAGGAATTTGAAAACGCCGGCTTTGCGTTTTAGTGTGAACAGAACACGTCTTGAAAACGGAGGTTTTCGAAAACGGTGGCGACACAATAATCATGTGATTCTCTGCCCGAGGTTTCATTTAAACACAAAACCAAAAAGACGAGTGATTGTTGCGTTTTCAAGTCTCTCCGGCGTAGTGTCGACGTAAAACACTTGAGGCTTTTTCAGAGTGAAAACTCCGCTTTTAAGTTTCTCCGGCGTAGTGTGGACGGGGCATTAGATTAAAATAGATGTAATCACGTGAGTCATCTCCTTATACCGCCACACACGTGACCTTAGGTTGATTACCTTGCATCTACTGGATTAATATGTATTGGAGACCAGCAATCTTTGACAGGTATTGACATTTATACTTGATTCGCTGGCAAATAATTAATATTATCATTCGATGTATTTTATTCTTCCTTTTCATTGGCCGAGAGCCCACCACGTGACCTAGAAATAACTGCCTACAAATAATGGTCCGCTCATGCGTAATGGAGTCTAAATGTGGTTTGCTCCAAATAATATTCTGCTCATGCGTAATTGTAACCACGCTCTTATGTGAAAAATGGCGGATCGTTTCCCGGAGCTGTCAGAGATTGATTTAGATATGGGAAAAAAAAATTTGGTAATCGGATGATAAAACAATTGTTAAACTCGGTTATCGCAAAATATCGTGATTTGTCGGTATCTCGCAGATCAATTGTTTACCTCAGCCTTCGGCTTCTTGGCTACGTCTAATAATTGATCTGCTCTCCACTGACAAATCACGATATTTTGCTCAACCTCGTCCAATAATTGTTAATTGTTCATGGTTAATTACAAGTTCCCTCTACCTTCATTTGACAGCATGGGAGCCTCCCAGTAGCAGAATGAGTCAGGTTTGTGGAATTGTTTTGTTTTTCAGTGTAGGAAAGAACAGAAATCGTTCATGACAGCCATTTCGGTGTCCCCGAACAAATTGAAATTTTTGGATAAGGAAAGGAAAACAACAACATGGCTGTTGAGACGGTCCAAACCAGGGTTTTCTACTTTACTTGATAGTGCTTTACATCCATTGCTATGACGTCGGCGAGAACCAATTTCTGTTAATAGCGTCAATGTGCCAACAGTCGTGAAATTTCGGCTTTCTTTATATTTTGTTCAAATAAACTCTATATTGAGTTGTCTTGGAAAATAACTTTCAAAGGTTCTGAAACACTTTAGTTTTTTTGAAATCGAGGAGAGTTCGAAATTCGCCATTTTTAAAACTCTCATGCTCTGGTATATTGTATCAAGACAATTTTGGAAGAAAATTAGCATCTTCTAGTCTCGTTCTACGGCTCTGTTTTTAAGAATACATAAATTTTTAACCACAAACAAATCTCCATTAATTTTCAAATTATGATTCTGCAAGGGCTATGCTGTGTGTAGGACATTTAAAAATAGCCATGAAAGTTTCTTATATGTTTCTCTCGTAATTGATCTTAATCTCGCCGAGCTGTAAAGCTATTAGATTTTCTTTTTAAAAATACCCCTCTAAATTTACTCACACTCAGTATAAGCACAATTTTTACTAGTGACCATAAAGACATAAGGATGCAATGCTTTCATCTATTGTATGAAGAAATGTGAAAGTTTTTGATCAGATTTACCAACAAATTACGATGGCTTTTTGCGTATTCCTGCACACTCCAGACAAAAAGTTCCCTTGGGTAAAAACAAATGAAGTCTCTCCCTATCCCCCTTAGTGATATAGAAACCGATGATCCCACCTTATACCTCTAAAACAAACAACGTCAGAATCATGGCATAATTTCATAACACTTCATGTTTTCTTTTTTCAGCATGCTAGAGGTCTGGAATCTATTCCGACTATAAACTTAGAAAGACAAGTAACAATCAGGGACTTCTGTAAACGAAACAACAGAACCAACCACACCTTGGAAAGTAAAAGGCTTTACAATATCATTGTTGATGAAAAGTTCAAAATATTATTTTGTTACATTCCTAAAGTTGCTTGTACCCAGTGGAAAACAGTCATGGCGAGTCTTGATGGAGCAGAAACAAAACTTGGGATTCACGATGCACGAAACTTTAAATTCTTAGGAAATTACCCAATGGAAGAAGTTGACTTAATGCTGAAAACGTATTTTAAATTTGTGTTTGTACGAGAGCCTTTCGAAAGACTTCTCTCCGCCTATCTTGACAAATTTTACAGCGGGGATTCCGATTTTCACAATAATTATGGACGGGAAATAATTAAACGATACAGACCAGGCGGTAATCCAGAGCATAAAAATATAACATTCGACGAGTATTTAAACTACGTTATAAACATTGGAAAAGGGTATTGGAACGAACACTGGCAAACATACGACAAACTTTGCCAACCTTGTGGAATTCAATACGACTTCATTGGAAAATTCGAAAATCTTGAACAGGAAGCTCCCTATGTTTTGGAAATGTCTGGCATAAGCAGAAAGTTAAATGTTTCGTTTCCGGAAATCAAGCCGTCAAGGACGTCTTCCAAAGTTTCATTTTACTACTCACAAATCTCCAAGGAGCGACTTTATGGAGTTCTTCAGTTGTTCTGCAGCGATACGGAAATGTTTCAATATGATTTACCAAAATCGCTTTATAACATTTTAGATCTATGAGTAGACCCTTTACATAAATGGCTGCCAATAACAGATTTTTTTTTTTTGTAAGTACTAGAATTAGCCTGACTAACCTCGTTTTTGAGCTGATAAATTGCCAGGCTGGAAATCAAGCAATTTCAGTTTTTAGTGGGCAAAAATATTGTACCAGAATAATGTTATATATATTGAAATCCTTTTTGCATTATCTAAAAGCTAAAGCTGTAAATAATTGCCAAGGTTCAAGGTTCAGAGAAATTGTAAAATTTCATCATCAGTGTCATCTCACCACTACTTTAAAGTGTTTCATATAAACTTCAAAATTTGGTTTCGACATTTAGTGTTCAGTGTTAGAAATGATTTCATTTGAGAAGATATTTAAAACAGTCGTACAGAAGTTTACTTCTTAAATAATTTAAAATGTTCCAAAGAATTTCTGTTTTTTAAGGGTTATATAAAATAAAGGAAAACTATCAATTTCTTATCAACCGCCTTAAATTATCGTTTGGAAAACGTGTTCTTTAATTTATTCATTCCTGTCGTCATTGACTATATTGTGAGAAATGTTCCTCAAATAACTCATCTTGAGAAAATATAAAAATGAACATCTGCCTCAATGAACAGATCACAATTCTTTAGAAACTACTGCATGGTGTCATTTATTTATATTAATCCTCCAATTATTATTATATTCTATTTCAGTCTATTTTTTTTTAGGAATATTCTTTGAATTTTGGAAATAAGAGTGAAGATAATTCATGAAAAACCAGACCAATCGGAACTCAAACGTTCACTGTCCAAATTAAGTCATATTTACCGTGCTCCGCGGCCCGAGAATCGACTGTACACAATCGAACTTTATCCCGCATTACACGAGGGTATTATTTTTTCCTTTATAACTTACAAGTTCATTCCAAACCAAAATACAAGATCTCTTTAAGATTTCTCGCCAGTTCCTTTGCGTCTTTTAAATGAAAAGAGACATCGCTTGAGCAGCTTAACCCACCTAAACCGTTGGCTATTTTATCAAACATTTTTGACAAAGTGATGTTGTTCGAATAATTAATTCCATCATGTCTAAATTACCAGTTATCAAAACAAAGTTTGAATGTACAAAAATGAAGTTTTACTGCATGCAATACTGACATCCTAAACTGAACAAGCACCGCTCTAAATTTTTCATACACGCAATCTTCTTAACCGTTGTCTATGTTTTTGTTTTTTTGTTCTTGTTAAGCTAAGACAAAATACGTATTACTCGACAAGAGCTATTAACAGGAAAACACCTGTCCGATTGTGTCCTTTACTGCTTTTCGTATTTCTTCTACCTTACAGCAGTAAAGAAGCGGGTTTAATGATGAGTTTAAGAAAACTAAAGTGGCTGTGTATTTCCTGGCGAGAAAGGCAAATGAAGATAATTCAGTATTAGTCGACAAAGCCAGCACTATAGCGCGGGTAGATAACAAGTGACCAGCGTCAATTGCAACCAGAGTGCACTGGACACTGCCTTTTTGTATCGCGCTATGTTCAATGGGCTTGTTTGGTTCAGTTGCTGAGGCTGGTTTTGAACATGAGTTTGGAGATCTCGGAGGGTTAGGAAAATCTTAGTGTAGGAGAAAATTGAGGTTACTAGACACAGTAATATACCTATCACGATCGACCGCAAGGTTATAAGGAAATTCCAAAAGTACGTTGTTGATACGATAGTCGGCAGAATCCAAAAGGTAATAACGATCATGTAGGTTCGCTTCAAAGTTACGACTTGTCTGTATCTCAATCTCAACAACAGGGCGAGAAGTCGGTCCACGCTTATAGCAGTTGTTGTCAACAGAGACACTCCACACAAAATAGTACCTGTAACCGAAACCCCCGCATATAAAAAGCGACGAATATCACAATATCCATACTGTTCAGACAGCCAATAAGCAACAGCAAGAGGCTCCGAAATGAGACCAACACAAACATCAGTTGCTGCAAGGCTACGAAGCAATAGTTTGGACGGCGGATGAAGGGAAGACTCCTTGCGAAGAGCAACTAGAATTAAAACATTTCCAAGAAATGCTGTAATAGAAAATATAGAGTTTAAAACGGAAAGAAATGTCAAATGTCCGTTAAATGGAGATGTTGTAGAAGCCCGGCAGAACAGTTGTTCCACTGCTTTCTGCTTCGCGTCTTCGGAAACGTTTTCTGTTGCCATCACTCTGCAATTTTCCTACTCCTACTACTGCTGTAATGAGCAATCCAGACGCCTTTTGCAATATTTCGGGAAAATATTGGCAAGAGGTCATGACGTACGCGCATCCTTTCAATTTATTTCGTCAAATTTGTCAATCTAAAAATGTCTTGAAAAAACATTAACCTGGCTGAGCAGATGGTTTCACAACAACAGATTCCTTTTACATGCACAGACTTAACATACACCACAAGAAAATACCTCTCTATCGTCATCATAATCAGCATCGAAATTACTAAAAACAGAATACAAATTTATCCTCCGACTTTTGGTTTCGAAACTTTTGTGTTCTGTTATTTCGAGAGCATTTCATAACTTCCGGAAACTACTGGTTACTGCTTCTAATTGATCAAATTAATTTCATCCTTAACACAGAGTAAACTGTTAGCTTTTGTAAAATGGACAATTTGAATTTTGTAATTTGCTAAAAGCTGTTTGAATAGAAAAGTGACTTATCTTGACAGGTTAATTTTCATATATTTTATCACACCTGAGTGTATTTTTACACTCTTCTCTTCGCCCAACAGCGCGTCGGTAGAGACGGTTACAGGCCGCGTTCGAGGTATTTTGCTAACTCAGTTTTTGCCACGTCTTACTTTAGTCTATAATGTGGTCAAAGCAGAAGATAGCTTTATCGATTGATTTTTGGTTTGAAAGATGAAGTGAATAAATGAAGCAAGAACATTAACTAACCGTTCTGACACAGTCTATAAAGTCGCTTCAATGGCCAGCTGGTGTTCGCTTGTAATGCCAGGGGCATTGTGCATGCTCTGCGGACCTATCCAAAAGTTTGAATAATTTTCACATATTTGCAGCCTCCTGGGGCCCGTTTCTCGAAAAGGCCCGGAAACTTTTCGGGCCCGTAAAGCCATTTTCAGTCCATCTGTAGCTAAAAATGGAGAAGTGTATAGGGTTGAAACTTCTTGTATGAAGGGAACCTCTGTTCACATTGAAAATACGTGAATAAAACAGCTCGGTAATCATAAGCTTCGAGATTTTGCTATGGCTTTCCGGGTGCGAAGACTTTTCGTGACCTTCGAGAAACGGGCCCTTGGTGCCTTACTTAAATTTATGAATTGGGCCGGAGTAGCATCGACTTTGATCAGGACTTCAGAAATGTATCATCTAAGTTCACCGGGCGTCCATTTAATGAATGGGTTATTATGGGTGCCATAATCACAGGGAAGCCAGCACTACTATGTTAAGTTCAGCTGTTGCCTTCGCGCGGTCTAGTGCGTCGCAAAGGTACCAACGCCAATTCGTACACCTTAACGCATTAGATCAAAAAAATAGTAAACGCTTCGAAACGATACTATTTTCCAAACTCAAAATATTCTGCTAGCATGGGAAGGGAAAACATTCTTCCTTACGAGTTCTTGTAGCCTTCCTTTTATTCTTAAACCTTAGTATGGTTTCCGCGTTTTTTTTGTTTTTTGTTTTGTTGTTTGTTTTTTGTCTTGTTTTGGTTTTTCGTAAGATAACTGGCGCACAGACATTTTAGCTTTCCACGTATTATTCCAAATAAAATGTCGCAGCCGTTTTAGTGTTTTGGATCATTTCAAATTCATGCAGTATCTCGAACGCTTGTCTTAAATTGTAATTTATTCCCCTCTGTCTTAGACCAGTTACTTACATACATTGCATAATCATATAGCTTACTATACTGCTTTGCACGAATTTAAAGGAGCTGTATCTCCGAATGAAGTGAGAAGATTCTTCAATTTCTGTAATTACTGCAAATAAATTGCACCTTTTAAAGTATGCTATCAAAGTAAGCCCCGATATCCGGGAAGCAGTGCTCCGTCCCAATTTTCCAAATGTTACTTATCCTTGATTCTTCCTCTCGCGTTTTTCTTCCATAATAACGTGGAGATCTCCTTTGGTTCCAGGGTTTAATAGTTCATGTGTAGTTTAGCCTAAGTTTTCGATTGCCTCTTACAAGCTGTAGTTTCGTTCTCTAAATGCTGCATACTAAACTGATGCAAAAGCTTTTCGGTTTTAAGTTCTGCAACAGAAAATGGATTTCACATATCTAACGTATTCACGACGGAAATATCTTGTTATAGTTCCATAAACTATGGGATTCACACAGGCGTGCAAATACGCTGCGATATCTGCAACTCTTAATAAAATATCGCCGACTTTTTTGTGCTCCTCTGCACCAAAGTCGGCAATAAGCCAAGCGACTTGAATTGGTAACATGCAGACTGCGAATAATATCACTATCAAGCCCATCATCTTGATAATTTGTAGGTCCTCTTTTCGGCGTACTTCTGAAGCAAAGCGATCCTGTGCGTCAGAGTCGCTTCGTTCTTTAGCTTTCCCTATGTCAATTCCAATCAATATGTAAGCGCCAGCGATGGTTGTCAGCGGTAGAACGTATTGCAGTGCAAACAAGACTGCTGTGTACACGCGACTCTGATATAGTTTCCAGTTCTCTTTACATCCTCCGGTCTCCTCGGTTTCCGCCACAATGATGAGCGGAAGTAGAAGCACAAATCCCGCGATCCAAATAATGATAATCCATATGATGACGTATCTGTGACGCATTTCCGGTCGTAAGGAATTGACAATTACGCGCCAGCGGTAAACCGCCATAAACGTGAGAGTGAAGATGCTGACGTTGAAAGTGGCGGTCATAAGCGGAGAGACAAACTTGCACAAGACCATTGGAAACTCGATACCTCCAAGGAAAAAAGCGTTCACTGGTAAAGACAGCAACATGAGTGTTAAGTCAGACATTGACAAGTTAAAAATAAGTGTGTCGTTTACAGACTTCCGCTTCTTCCTCCATAGAATAAGAAGAACAAGAGAATTTCCAGCTACAGCAAGCAGAAAAGTCAATGCATACAAGCCAAGCTTGATGTATTTTTCTGTCTCAGTGACTTTGGAGAAGTTCGTCGGGTGGCTCATAGCGTTTTTCTCTATTCCACTTCAAACCTTAAAATCTTTCACGAAATGATATTCAGTTTCTTCGCTGGTTAACACCGCTACTTGAAGGGTTATTCAAAATGACCAGGTTAAAGGCTGTGCAACATTTATCTCCTTCAAAAGAGGAACATTGATCCTGCAGGAGGAATAAAGACATGAAAGAAACAAGTTATAACTTTGGAGAAAAGCAACTTTTAAAACCCCGCTCTGATGTGTGCAGTGGTATCAAGGCGTTTATTTCAAGGTTCAGCACAGGAGGGTGTATGTTAATTGTAGACACCCCTAGGATTCTCGCGAAGAGATAATCAGGGGCTCAAGACAGGGAACTTGGAGGTAATTCCAGAACGTACTTATCTAGTGAAGCAAGCAATGAGTAGCCTTATGAAAATAGGTGAATAGAACTGTCTCAAGCAAGAGTTAACCTTGATTCTACTTAAGGAAGGTGGTAGCAGGGGCGTAGCCAGGAGTTTTCAAAGGGGGGGGGATACACTGTGTCAAAGTAAGGGTACTCGCCAGATTGTCCTGTCATTTTCGCCACCTTTTGTAGGTTGTTTGCTTAAAGAAGGCTTACAAAAGAGGGGTCTTGGGCACCCCAGCACCCGGCCCTTGGCTACGCCCCTGGGTAGGTAATTTTCAAGGTCAGAAGGAAAAACAAGTTTGCCAGAACCTGTTTTGCAAAGGTGATTCTACTGACGATTGCAATACAGTCCACTGTCGCCTTGCGTACAGCTCGCTATTATGGACACCGCTTATTACGGACAGAAGCTACATTCCAGGACGCAGCTGCAAAGAAATGTATGGAAACAACTCGCGGTATAACGGGATTGCGCACACATCATGTGGTCCCAAACCAGCATTTTTACTGTACTTCCCTCGTTACCACGGACAAATTGGACGGATTAAATGACATAATTATTCTGTGGTCTTACTCATGATTTTAACCTATATTATAAGATTGTGAATCGAAGTAAACGAACACCGCTTATTAAAAGAAACTGGAAATCCTAAAAGAGTAGAGCAGTACGTGGCATTTCATAACCAAAAACCGGGTCATTTTCATCACACCCCGCCATTTCGGACGCTCGCTATAACGGACACCAAATAACAGTACGTCCCAAGGGTATCCGCTATAACGAGAGTTGGCTCTATATTCACGTGCACAAGAGTGGAACTAGTGAGAATAAAATCAGCTACTGCACTTCAAATTCGGTGTGGTTACTAAGTTATTTTTCGGTAAATATTTTAAGATTTCGAGTCTTAACTATTTCAACTATAAAATTTAAACATAAAATTAAATTATAATAGTATGTTCGCATCAGAAGTAAGAAAAGTACACGATTTTGTTATCAGCGTCAGCGTTAAAGAAAAACTCTAATTTTCATTGTTACTGGCCAGGCCTGAGATTGGACTATTAACTAAGACAACAATACGCCAACAAATAATGTACATGCAAAAATTTCAGCGTCCTGATTGGCTGAGAGCATGTCAATCCCAAACAAGGGAGAAAATTGAAATTGCGCGCAGAAAGATGAAATTGAGCGCAGAAAGATGAAATTGAGGGCAGAAAGATGAAATTGAGCGCAGAAAGATGAAATTGAGCGCAGAAAGATGAAATTGAGGGCAGAAAGATGAAATTGAGCGCAGAAAGATGAAATTGAGCGCAGAAAGATTAAATTGATGGCAGAAAGATAAAATTGAACGTAGAAAGATGAAATTGAGGGCAGAAAGATGAAATTGAGGGCGAAAAGATGAAATTGAGCGCAGAAAGATGAAATTGAGCGCAAAAAGATGAAATTGAGCGCAGAAAGATGAAATTGAGCGCAAAAAGATGAAATTGAGGGCAGAAAGATTAAATTGATGGCAGAAAGATAAAATTGAACGTAGAAAGATGAAATTGAGGGCAGAAAGATGAAATTGAGGGCAGAAAGATGAAATTGAGCGCAAAAAGATGAAATTGAGCGCAGAAAGATGAAATTGAGCGCAAAAAGATGAAATTGAGCGCAGAAAGATGAAATTGAGCGCAAAAAGATGAAATTGAGCGCAGAAAGATGAAATTGAGCGCAAAAAGATGAAATTGAGGGCAGAAAGATAAAATTGAGCGCAGAAAGATGAAATTGAGGGCAGAAAGATGAAATTGAGCGCAGAAAAATGAAATTGAGGGCGGAAAGATAAAATTGAGTGCAGAAAGATGAAATTAAATTGCATGTATATTATTAACAAGTAATCAAATGATGTTCTCGTGCAATTTGAAATAAATAAGTACTCGTGCATTTTTCAAAGACTGTAGACTTAGTCTTTAAATAATTTACATGTTTTATTTATTCTAAATTGAACTCGAAGTCATTTTTTTATTCCAAATTGAACTCGAAGTCATTTGGAAAACAAATTTGTTTTTGAAAAGAAATATTTACCTTCCCTAATTCACTGTTGTGTGAAATCTAGATTTTGGAATCCGCCCTTCCCATTTAATTTTAAAGGTGTTCTCCTGTCTTAACTATTTCTCAAAAAAAAAAAAAAAATAACAGCATGGACAAAAGAACGTACGATATATGTGTAACAAAATTTTCTCTCATCAAAACCATGTCATATTAGTTTTCCGTCCATCTGATCTTCTTAAAAGAAAAACAGAACAAGAGAGATTCTCGAAGCATTATTCTTTATTCATATACAGTGTTGATTTTAAATGATCAACTATCTCGATGTTATGGCGTTTAAAACTTAGTCTGTTTTCGCAAAAATATATTTTCCCTGCTTTCAGAGCCTGGTTAAGTAGACTGAATGAATTTCAAAACTGCAAAGCTTATTAAAGATAAGGCCTAGTACAAGACCTTCAGTTTTCTTTAGTCAAACGGTAAAAGTTGATCCATTTTCGTTTGAAGTCCGCATTGTCCATTTTATCATACCTTAATGTAGTTTAATCGTGCGGTTGGAGGGTTTGTGATTAGTGTCTGTAGAAACCCAAACTTGCACTGATAAAATTAAAAAAATAGTCATCACTTTAAATTTCAAATAAATTGTAAAACCACGTCCATTTGGTGACGAATCAAGTTACTCCAACCAAACAATGCAACCGCAGTGTAATTTGGTTTGTCAACATGGGTTTTTTCAATTTCAGATGTACATCTGCCGTTCCTTTATTCCTTTGTTACCGCTAACTTAATTGTTCCTTATCTGTCCTAACTGATTCATATTTTTATAATGAACTAACAGCTAGGGAAGTCAGTTTGTAAACATAACTTTGTCTGCCAACCAAGACTGTACCATGCATGCACCAAGTCATGTACTATGCACGAGGTCAACTAATTACTTTCCACACAAAATTGTATTACAGTCACAGCTTCCATGACCAATAATTTCATATTTTCTCAGAGCATTTTTTGTGTGTGTGTGTTTGGTTGAAGATGATTCACAGTTAGAGACATCATTATTTTTCACTTTGAATAAACGCGTTATTACGTATGGAAAAGACCTGCTGTGAAACATATTGCGAATAAATATTTTCAGATAAAGAAAGATAAAACATTTGAACAAATTGAAAACTGAATCAAAATAGAACCATGCAAAATGAAATCCGTCTATATACCCAACGTTAAAGGATAAATTTTCTTTCCGCGGTATTTAATTATTTTATTATTATTCCATTTGTATTTAAATTGCTCGCGTCCTCGCCTTTTTCCGCCGAAACATTCGTTTGAGTTTTGATTTCATTTTTAAATCTCGTCATAGTGGACAATGTGGAAAATTGCTTTGCCTCCCAGAATTATAACTTGAAACGTTCAACTTCAAATTACCATATTCACCTTCACTGAGGAATGCAGATGTAAAATAACTGGTTATCTTTTCTGACAATAAGGCATCGAACGTCTTAGCTAGGAAGATAAAACACGAGACAATTTGTGAGCGAGATGCAAAAGTGGAATGCAGTGAAATTTCCACAAACATCGAATTTCGTTATGTTTTTGGTCTTTCTAGCTGCGGGCGTACCTATTTTAATTAATTATTTTTGTGTTTTACACGAATTCAAGTTGACTTTTCAGATGAGATACCAGTACCTAACTGCGAGACAACTCCTTCCTTTATGTTTTCTACCTTGCAAATCCTGCAGTCTAACCTATGTAGACTTGTTTCCATGAAAATGTGCTGGTATTGATCAGATAATAGAACATGATAACAAATTCATCTAAAAAAAAAACAGTGAAAAAGCAAAAATAATTGAGAACCTTTCGCCTTCTTTAACTCAGCCATAGATTATTTCAACACCTCTTTGCTTGGAAAGCTGTTTTGCGACACAAACTGTATCCCTTGCAAGAAATTCGTATTACGAGTTCTGTCGATAACTTCCAATGTGGCGATAACTTTGTCAAACTTTCAGTAGCCAGGGCTTTGGCCGATCAATTAATTACGTCCAAAGAATAACCTGGCAGTTTGATATTAATCTAGCAGCTTAAGTCTTTCGTTAATTATTTTATGGTGCATTCTCATTCTCGTTAGATTGGAGGTATCGTCTGGAAATAATGAAATAATAGAGTGTTTCTTTTGAGAAGCTATCGTTTCCACGCCGAAATTTGATACTCCAAAGCAAATGTTTGCTCGAGAAACAACGTTTAATGAAGATTTTGCTACATTGTAGTCCTGGGGAAAAACAGGTTTCCGACATAAAGCAATTCTAAGGTTATACAATTAGAACCTGGAAAACTTTCATAAATGACAATAGAAATTATGTCTCTATGTTGGGAAGAACCGAATCTTTGTTTCAATTTCTTGCTTTCTTTTCTTTTACCAAACTTATGTAAAACTCTTTTCGTCCAAAATTGCAAAACTGGTGTTTCCTCAGTGGTCCGCACTATTACTGTTGGCATGCACCATTACTATACTTGTGATGAGAGCTGAATTTTCTGATTGTTATTTTTCGAATAACCGCTTCGACCTAACATTCATTTTGACGCTAGCTATAAAGAGTGATTATGGATATGAATACAATTAAGACGAATGTTCTGCTTGTTTTGCTGCAAGTCTTAGTTGTGCAAGTTGAAAGACAATCGCACGCATTCAGTTGTATGACTGTTTGGACAACCTACTTCCGCATACGGATGTAGCCTTTAGGCAATAATAGAACTATGCAAATGAAGAGATTTTGGAACGTGACATTACAAACGGAAACGAAAGATCCGCTATAACTTGATTATCCCTTTATTTGTTTTATGTTTTGTTTTTATTTTTTCTCTGTCACCTTTCACTTTCTGATTAACTACAGCAATCCAAACATTAATATAAATTGAGAGGAACACATAAAACGTGACTGCATTATTGTAGATTTAAAATCACTTTTTTCTTAATTGAGTTTATTCCTTTGCAGTTGGCCGTGAGGATAATTTTTGTAAGAACATGGAATAAAGTTTATTTGGGCGTCTAATTACATCTAGTTTTTCTTGTCAGAACTTTATTATTAACGAGGCACCAAAGTCAACAAAAAAAACAGAAGGCGGAAATTTACGACTGGCGGGTTTTTTGTTCCATAGCTTATTTTTAATTTAACGTAATTATCCTGCAGCTCTTTTATATTAAAGAAATGATTTCCCATCCTTTGCGGTAGATTAAAAGCCCTAAAAATTAGAATTGCACATAAATTTAGCTTTTCGTTGTTCGAGGTCACGACCAAACTATCATTATTTTATTTTCAGCAAACATGCAATTTTCAATCGCTGAGTTTGGGTCACATACACAGCACAATCATGAGCGAATCAAACCTTCCCATTACCTAAAGTTTTTGTTTTTACGTAATTAAAAGTCGTACTAGAATTGAGGTCGCTTAGATATAAATACCGTTTTCCTTGGTACATTGCAGCAAACGTTTCGCAAACATATCGAATTTACATCTGGCACGGCCTGTTGTGTGTTTCTCGATACGATATGTGGTATTTCGAATCGGCAAAGCCAGTTTAGCATGGCCATTTTATATCAACTTTTTGCGGCAGCTTGTTAAAAAAGAGCCAAGTTGAAATTAACTTTATGAAGTTAGGCTTTTCTATCTCTTTTTGCGAAAACTCGTTTGTCCCCCTCAATTCCTCAGTATTTAAAGAAAAATTGAAACGGCCACTGTGTGTTAATCCGAGCTTCGAATATTCTCTAAGTCACGGACAACCATTAATTCGAACTCTAGTCAAAAAAGAAAGGTATCCCCTCGGAATCTAACGATTTCGATTATAAAATTGAACCGCTAACTTATCTAGTGACTTACCTCGAGGCGAACAAGATTCTTCACAACAGAGGGACGCTATCTGACTTTCGTCATAAACTTCTAGGCTCATGCGCAGTAAGAGTACCCCCTTCTGTGATGGCGTGGGTACACCATGTAGTTCTTTGGCAATGTTGAATTTGTGGTAATTCTTTATTGTATTATTTTGGTTTTAAGTCACATTTTCTACAGGCGTGATAAGCAATGTGTGATAGTAACCTTAGCCAGCGACCTTGGCTGTGATGAGAAAGGCATCGATAACGCACGTGCATGTTCTTTACATTGCAATTGGTCAAAAACTTCTTTAGTAATTGTTTCCTTTAAAAAAAAGCTAATATTCCTTGCATAATAATTTCACTGATCTTGTTTGTTTCGTTAGCTTAACAGTAATTTGTGTATACTGTGTAGGGAGGCCCACTTTTGGAAATGTGTTTGAAGTCGTTCTTAAACATTCATTTCATCCGGTCAAAAATACTCAAAAAATGATTTTAAAAACAACTGAAAAAAAAAACTCAAAACCTAATGAACTATATTACTTCTTGTTTATTAACATTACTTAAAAGCTCAATTTTTGTTTTCTATTACTCTATGAGAGGAAATTAACGCCATTGAGAAGTCCCTTAATTTCCGCTACACTAATATCTACCACTTAAATCCACAATTCTAAATCTCGTTGTCACTTAATATAAGCAAGTAGGGTCTTCTATGTTTAGTATATTTTAATCTTGAAATCTATTTTTTGCGCAAAAAATTCATGTTACACCTTGTTCTTAGCTCATTGAGCGACATAATTCTTGTTCCGTTTCTCTGTTTGTTTGGTTCCTGATCTCATCAAATCAAGAGGGGATTTTCTATTCGCATTAATAAAATTCCTATAAGTTAAAGTGCTGCACCTTTCCACTGCGTTAATTCAAGACGCGTTACTTTTTTAATACGTGTAGAATCCTCACAGGCGAGACCTGATTACTCGAACATCAACGAAAATTTGAATCAAGATCAGGATTTCGAGATATTGCAAGTTGCATCGCATTACACTGAATTGTTGAAGTACTGTTTTAGAAGATGCATAAGGCAAATTTTCAATGAAACACGGTAGCACCCTTTTCGCTATAGAATACCCAGTCGATGATCGATTTGAATTTACTAAAGGTAGACTAACGTGGTCCTATAAGGTAATCATTTATGACGTTGCGCGCAAGTACGTGTTATGTTTTAAATGCTGTTTTTGCATTCGTTTATACACACAGTCCTCTCAAACTTACATGTAATAAGCAATGATTAAATAGTGTTTTACTGTCACCTCCGTTTAAATTTTGGGTTGTAGTCTTGAATTATAAATGCCCAAATAAATGTGTTTTTTACTTTTTTAAAGCTTTACTTGTGATTTTCTTGAATTTCCTTCGGTAAAATCTTCCAAAATTTTTACAGCACATCGCATTTTGCGGGATACGAATTTTAGAAACGAAAAAAAGTAGGGTTTGTACAGGCAGTTTTTTCGATTTTTGTCTTTTACCGCTACAAAAAAAAAAAAGGTCTTAAGGAGGTAATTCTTCTCAAGATATTTTTAAATCATATAAATCCCAGGAGAGTCCAGAAACATCCAATCATTTAATGCGATTTTGCCCACGTGGACAGCTAAAGCGGCTTCAGACTCATTTTTTCATCCTCCAAGAAAACATCCACGCAATGCCCGTGGAAGCGTTTTCCGCGGAAGAACTGGGTTCCATGTCTATAAACTTGAGAGAATCAGGTTACTTTGGGAATAATGCCTGCACGGCTTGCTCTTTATCCATTGCTTGACCTCCAAAAATAAACTCTTATTTCGAAGTTGTAAGATATTTTTAGCATACATAACAAATTGACAGGATATCGTTAAATAAAAACATTGAGTGATGAGCTGTAACTGACCAAGCGACAGAAATATGCCAATTTATTTGTAAGTACTGTTAACCTTTATGTCTATGCAAAGCTACAGGCCTCACAAGTTTTGACAAGTTTTCAATGGTGATAATAACCCTGTTTACTTCTCAAACACGTTTGTTGACAAAAAAAGCCAATTGATAGTACCAATCAACTAAATTAAACAACTGAAATCTTCGGCCGCTTTACCTCTGTACCGTGTCACAAAACGGCAGCTGCCCCGCTGATCATTCCACACACTCGCACATTTTTTTTTCCAAGTCAATGGGCCCAATAGAAAGGTAGGTGCATTTGTCCATTACAAAATCCATGCAAAGATTCTAATGTTATTTTAATATATTCTGTATGAATCGCTCTAAAGTCATTCTAGGCCAACGATTGTGTCTTGTAAAGCTTTGTGTGTTTATCTTTCGCTTGTAAAGCGCCTTGGAATTACGAAATTAGCTCGAATAAAAAAATGCAAAGGTAATTCGCACATATCACAGCGGCAAAAGATATTTGTGACCAATGGTTTGCCAGGTGACAAAGAATTGTGAGATATTTGAGTTATGTTTGAAGTTTAAACGCCTCAAACAAAAACAGTTATTGTCAGTTTGTACATGCTAGAATTAGGTAGCGTGTACACTACGCGGGAGAAATTTAAAAACGCAGCTTTATTTCTACGGTTAGGCTTACCGTGCACACTCACCCGTCACGAAAGCGGAGCTTTTCGAAAACTCTCTTCAAACCGGAGGAATTTGAAAACGCCGGCTTTTCGTTTTGGTGCGGACGGAAAACATATATGTTGGAAACGGAGCTTTTCGAAAACGATGGCGTAACGATAATCGTGTGATTTCCCTGACTGAGTTTTCCTCAAACACAAATCCAAAATGACCGGTGATTGTTGCGTTTTCAAATTCCTCCGGCGTGGTGTGGACTGGGTGTTATAAAGACTCCATATTTATGATGGCTGAAGAATACAGATTGTAAGATTGTTAACAATATAAAACTCTTTAGTAAAGTGAAAATATCTTTCATATTAAAGAAAATACACTCGTTGGTGTTACAGTAATTTTCAAACTATTGCTTGCTTAGACACAACATTTGACTGCTGATTACAGTAAAGAAACAAAATATTGTTTCAAATCGTTTGAGCAATTTCTATTTCTGGCAACCGGAGACACGACTTCTTTCATCTCATAATCGTGTGCCGCGCCCGTTGCTAAAATAGCAAAACAAATGAATTTATGGAAACAAAACTAATTTATTTTTATCTCTTTTATAACAGCAAGTCTTAAATAAACAGAGAAAGCTGTCAGGCAGAAGTTATAATTTCATGTGGACTCGATAAATATTGTAATTGTTTTTATAAAGTTTTTCCGCGATTATACAAACACAAATAATTCTACAGGGTGGACAAAAATATGGCTTTAGAATGAACGGAAATATAAAATTTTGATGATCGAGATTTTAAAAACTTTAAGCTAAGACGGGGAGCTTTTAACTTTAGTACCAAAAGAAAAATAAAAACAATCGGATGTTCCCATCATCACTTGATACATATAGAGAAGCAAATTTAGCTAGTAATTTCAAATGTTTAAGATCATGTGATGGTCTGTCTATCAATATTTATAAAGCATTTTAAATAAACGATGAATTATGAAATTTAAATCGTGAAGTGAATTTCGTCATGTCACGATTTGTTTTCTTGTCTTGACCAGAGCTGAAATGTATAGAAGCTCCTTTATGAAGTAAAAAAAAAACAGATATAGTTACCTAGCTCAGCATTGTTGTAGCAAATTTTAATCGTGGTAAGAAAATGTTTGTCCTTGCTAGCTCTTACCAATCTTGATAACTTGGTTTGGCAAGTTATTTACACCTTCTATTTCACAGAGATACGCATATATTTCAATCCCACAATTTTTGACCGAGTGATAAACGACTTTAACATAAAATCTTCTAATTTTAAGTTACCATCTTCTGAAACATAAGCGTTTGTTTAAAGTTATTCGTGGGGTCTTGATTGCAAATAATACTTCAAAGGTTAATGTATTCATTTTAAAAACGGACAAAGATGAACACCGATTAAGTAAATGTGATGATTTGAAAGTCGCTGGCTGTGACAACCAAAATGTGATTTCCTTAATTTCTTCGACTTTGGAGAGATTAAAAAATAGTTTTGTGTACTTTTTCATCAAATTAACAAAACCTAAGACTCTACTAAGGATTCCCTGTGGAGAAATCCTCGACAATTAAAAAACAAATGTGATCACCCTTAAATTAAGTTCTTCAGATGATTCCAGTTCACATAAATACAAGACAAACACAAATTTCTTATTTTTCTGGAAAAGCATGAACTAGAAACGTGATTTTTAAAGTAAGGAATAAAAGGATTATAAAGAAAACGAAAAAAATGTTATCTTGATAAACGGTTTATGGGTGGTGGAATAATTGTAGTTTCTGTTTTTATTGCATAAATTCGGCTTCAAATTAACTTAGTTCTGTTTGTGCCTTTTCATTTCGAGCTCCGAATTGGAAAAAGAAGCTTTTTAATTTTCGTCATAATTTGTCAGTCTGTCATACACGTTTTACAAATATTCATTACATTTTGCAAAAAAAGTGCTTAGAAGAAAATTCTCGAATTACTTACCACTTTAAGAGGTCAGATGTTAATTTTCCTCGAGAGGTGAAAAATATTACACTTGCCTTGTCTCTTGTATTACAAACGTATCCAAGGATCAACGAATTTTAAGGGAAAAAGTGTCAAGAGGGAAAGCTCTGTTAAAAGGTGAATGATACACTAACAACACATTAGTTATCTGTGTTGCTATAAATGAGGCAAGCGTCATGGTCTAATTCCAGCCCCAGGCTACTTCCATATTTGACCTTTTATTTCTGTGATATGAATGATATTTGGGTTGCTTATCGGGACCACATGTCAGCCACTCTGTTAATTCCCACCCAGTGAAGATAAAACTGTTGTTACTCAACATGGATTCCACTGCCTTTCTTAGTGCTGCATCCAGTAAAGCCGAGTGAGTCTGGGATCGAAGTTGGTTGACAACAGACCAATTTCGATATATTAAAATTCAGCCTAAAACAATAAATCTCAACACGAGGCTCTGGGGAATAACTTTGTGGCGTTTATTCCCCAGAGTCTCGTACTGAGATCTATTCTTTTTGAGGCTGAAATTGAATCGAAATTGGTGTATTGTGCAGCCTGCCTTTCTTTTGTTATCAACTCGTCCAAAATCCTTCCCAGGTTTCCCTCGCTCTTGGAAGAGGCCGAAAAGAGTGCACTGTTTATTTTCGCGTTAATTTTACTTCGCAAAAATGCAGTAGATGTGTCTCTCAAAGCTTAAAAATTTAGTTAAAGGGGAATCAAATTTCGTGGAAATATTTTTAAAGCTGATCTGCATCAAAAACGGATGCTACAAAATTTATTTAAAAATATACTTAGTAAGGCCGCACCATCAAACTTGGTATAGGCATGCGTGCAATATTTACCAACTCTTCCCTACGATAATAATGCAGTCTTCAGGTCTAGCCGGAAAACTGTTATCGAACGCTCCAGCGGAGCATCATCTTCCAATATTTTTGGTCTGGAAAGGGGTGGTGATTACGCTGGTAACGCAACATCCGGGACATTCATGGGGTACATCCAGTTCCGATAGCGCTTAATATGGCTTAATATTCTAAAATCCAATGATGTGCAGGCTATTGACGTAACTGAGAGTTTTCTTACCTTGGCCAGAGAACATATTATTTTTTCGCGTTATTAGTCGCCGTCCTACATCTTTTTCCGTCAGCTATGTTACGAAACAATTGAATTATGATCTTAGCTGTGAGTAGGATCTTCGACTTATGATGCTCTAAAAGTTTGGAAAGCACTCAAAAAGCTATAGATAGTGAGGTGCTCGAGGCGACGCCTCGAGCAACTCCTACGCACTAACTCTCACCCTAACAGCTCTTTTGCGTTCTTTGGAGCGCGCTAAAATATAAATCACTTGTTAAATTTTACATAGACATATTTTAGAATAATACTAGGCACGATCAACTAAAAACAAAACTTACAACAGGATGGCAAGTTTGTTTATGCCAAAGCACAACGTTTTTCTACAAATTACAGCATCTACAATGTTCATTTTTAGTGTTTTATGATTCGGACGACAACAGGAAACAAAGGACCCTTAATCATGTTGAGTGAAATTAAAAATAAAAAGGTCTTATGGCAGCGGTTTAAATTTCGTGTCGTTAAACTTACGCGGTAACTTTTTTTGCGTGGGCCTATTTATGACTTTGTTATCGCGAAATACAGGAACCATACGCTAACCTAACAAAACATAAACATGTTCGTGTTTTGCAATTTGTGGATATTCTTACTATCATTCTATCATCTACTGCAAGATAATACACCTTACAGAAAGGTAATTGCACGATTGGTATATTGCTATTTAAGCAAAATATTTAATGCAGATATTTAATGCACGTATCACTTCGCCGGTCATTTTTGTGAAGTAAAGGTGAATTCTCTAGATCTTAAGTGAGCTTTTCACCGAGTCACTTTTCATTTGGACATTGTTCAATTGACCGACTATGGACTGTGTTTTTTTTTGTTTTTTTTTTTAATTTTTTCTCTGAAAACTGAACAGGTAAAAAACATTTCGTGCAAAACATCCTTATTTGGTCCGTTAAATGCAGTTATTTGTGACGTCACGTTTAAATGGTGTGATCCAAGCTGTATTAGTTTGCTTTCTTTGCTTTCTTAGAAGTAAAAAAGTGCCTCATTTCGAGTTGTTTCATGACCTGTCTTATCTACTGCGTGGTAAATAAATCGTCTGTGTTATTACCTCCGGTCTAATTCCAAAGCTTAATGACGTATGTAGGAAGGAAGACATATTACTCTATACACTGTTGTAAGTTTAGAAAAATATAATTATTATAGTCTGAAATGAGAACAAAACATTGGCAAACAACTCTCGATGTGAAAAAGGGATATCGATAAGTTGTAAGTCTTTACTTCTTTTGTTCCCCTCTCACCAACTAAATGTTTTGAGTTGTGTTGATATGTTTTGTGTGCAGACCAATATTCAGACATTGTTTGTAGCTGGTCAATATCTGGTAGATGGTTAATAATTTCTGATAACCGTCGTGGATATGTAGTCTCTAAAGGACGTTTATTCCACAACAGCCGACAAACATACACCTTATATCCATTCTTTAGTATTTATGTCTCATTATGCAAAAGTCATTTAAATCCACTCGATGCTCAAAAAGGTGATAAGCCCAAGATAAGAAAGATTATTTTCTTTGAAAATTTACAAAATTTTGCCAGGCTTCTGTGGGAGAAATGAGCGATTAAAAGAGATTACACGACATAAAAACTGGTTCTGAGACGAGAAGAATATGCAAATATGTATAGCTTGAGTTTATTTGAATCTTAAGCGCGCTCTTACTGTTGATTTATGGTCTCCTGGCCATGGCAAAATCCAGATGTTGACTAAGCGAGGGAGGGAAAGAAAACTATTTTTTTTCCCCTCGTAATAGTGCACATATCAGTTTTTTTTCCTCTGTCAAGATCAATTTTTAATGCCTAATACGTTACGTTTATTCCAGACCAGAATCATTTTTTTTTTTGTTTCATTTTGTGGCACTAAAATTTGCTTTCTCTTGATATCAAGTGGTAAATAACCCTTACTCTATTTGCAGATATAATTCACTCTTGTCCGGACGTTGGTACAACACGTTTTTCATTTAGTCGTACAGACAGTCTCCGTTCCCGAAAGCTCATGCAAATTTTGGTAAATTAAAAAAAAAACTTCCGATAACAGGTCAGAATGCTTTCGTACAATCTTACGATTTGCACGTTCAGTTATCAGGCAAAACCGAACGAAAAAATGTCTTGAAAAGAAACTTGTTGTTGTGAATTTTCAAATGACTACCACAGGAGTTACGCTATAGCCAATCACAAAAACACGGAAAACCCAGTGAACCAATCAAAACTCAAACCCAATGCCTGTAGCTGACACAAAGCACGGGAAAAATTGTGTGACTGAGTCGCGATTGATTTCTGATTGGATGAGAAAGGGGCGCGAGTTTTTAAGCTAATCGCTTAGCGCTATAACCCAATTTAAAATGAGCCGATCAAATATGGAGGTAACAATCATATCAAGACCAGCTTTAGTGATTTTGAGTGAACAGCGTGTATTCTCCGATTACTTGGAACATATCGCATACACCGTAGTCTTTTTAACAAACTGGAGAGCTAAACGAAACAAATAAACTCCACTTTTCAGGGCAAATTAAAAAACCTCTGGAAACTCGAAAAATGGTCTGCAACAATCCTCGTTGATAATAAATGCACAGTTTCTCTCAATGGACTGATGTGATAGAAACAACGAAAAATTTATCACGTAAACTAAATGTTTTAAGCAAATTCTTCATCGTGTAAGCACGAAAAATTTCGCATATTTTTGTTACCGAAAGTAAATTTAAGTTTTTTCTCTTGATGTATAAAAACAAGCGCAAAGGAAATTTAAAGAAAGGTTGAAAACAGTTTAAGGCAATATTGGCACTTTCTCCTATTTTTGTTTAGAAATTCAGTAAAACAATAAACAACTTTGGAAAAGTAAATCATGTTAAAATTTGAAAATATAAATTCAGTTGATTCGTTGAAGAAGGCATCGCTAATACTGAGAAAAAAATATTTCTACTGTGCAGTTTTTCAAACTGTTCTCTCTTTGAAACAGGGAGACCAAATATTAGCTGGGATAAAAATCGCAAAAAGGGAAGGAAAAACCTTGTGAAAACCGTCAAACTTTTTAATACCGATTTCCTTTAATGAAGCTTGAGGATATGGCGTTGCACTCAGGAAAACATTTTGTAGTTTACTGCGTCAATTCGATTTTTACTGACGTGAGCGTCCTACGAGTGTAAAAATGCAAATTGAACTGGCTTTTTCTTGCGTAAATAAACTGTGACAGTGAAACGAAATAGACTGCTTGAGCAAATAGTTGAACGTGTGCCAGTCTGACGCAAGATTTCAACACATTTTGGATTATCTAGGCAATTTGAACACGTAGAACCAGAAAAAGTCACGTTCGTGAGGTAGGAAAATAAAAATCGCGCCGCGGGAAATCTATCTCCTGTCTCCTCCATTGTCAGTCTGATAAATTTGCTATGTTGCATTTGTGTGTGAAAAAATAATTAAGATATTTATCTCTCTTGCAAATAGGCAAATTGATAGTTACCACCTTGTTACTAAATACAATTTCTAATGGTTGTCGTATACTACGAAAATTTTTAGCTGTTTTTTTTTTTTTTTTTTTTTTTGGATTTATTTTAATGGACGTTTTAGTCTTAAAACGAAATTAGCTCAGTTTTTGGAAATAACTCCGAAAGATAATCGTTCGCAATTGCTCGTTTCATAATCAGAAATATAAACTATTAGATTCATTTGCAGATATCTACTGCTTCCGCTGCCATTATCAAAATTTCCCCTACCCCACTTTAATATTTATTAATTATATCTTCCTTATCACCAATGCAATTGTCAGTATTGAAATCTTCCCACCTTTAATCCCTTTTACCCCAAGGTTATTTAAACAGAAGACATAATTAACCCCAGATTATTACACGTTTTGGGTTTGCGTTTACTTTCTTAGTAGTGTTGGAGCCTCGTTAAGGGGCCGGGGGACGGGGTAGGGGGGCTGAGTATCCCCTTTCCCGTTAATTTTTGGCTTAGATATCCCATATTCCCCAAAACCCCTAAAAGGCCCTCGATATTTCCATGTTTATTTTCCAGGTTTGCTTACCCTTAAACGTCACTTATTACGTATTGTACTAATGTATTAGTGTAATGTTACAATACGTACCTTTTTTTCTTAGTTTTGCAAACTGACAAACACTTCCGAACGATATATATCTGCAGTACATTATCTCTTTGTTCCTCAAAATAGATTCATATAATTAAGGGATAATGTCTTAGTGGTGATCGTAACACAAGCTTTTGATAGCTGTATTTAGCCAATTAGAGCGTAGAGAACGTGCAGTAATGTACTCGTGCCATACACGGCCAGTAAATAAGAAATGTGATCTTTAACTTCTGTTTTCACTATCTGCTTTTAATTTGTTAGCAGCTAGACTGACTGGAGAACGAAAGACTCACTGGAAAACAGAATCAACTCATTCTCGTGGGCCTTGAAGAACAACTTCGGTCCCATGGCTAGCTAACGAGGGCATTTTTCTTCAAAGAGAAGATCTACATTTGCCATTTGCGACATTTTTCCACGAGATGAACAACTCTACAAACGAGTTGTCGAGTAAAAATCAGACGAAGCAAGGATCCACAAGTTTGAGCGAGGCTGAACGGAACTTTAAAATTATATTTTACTTCTGTCTGTTCGTTGTTGGTTCCTTGGGAAATCTCCTGGTCATTGCAGTCGTAAAAGCAAAACGTAAACGAACTATAAATGATTATTTCATTTTAAACTTGGCAGTGTCAGACCTTACGTTTTTGTGGTTTTCTCTTCCTTTCTACACCTATGAGCTTTTCCAGGCATTCTACAAAAACGTATTTTACTGCAAACTTATTTGGCCCATGATGTCGGTGACTCTCTCTGTAAGTGTTTTCACCTTAACATCCATGGCGGTTGAACGATGTCGAGGAATCATAAATCCCTTACAACCAAGAATTAAACTGCAAGCTACACTGGTTTGGATTCTGCTTATATGGATTTGCGCTTTTGTCACGATAACCCCTTTGATGGTCGTAACGCGACCGGATTCTGTGCTGTGTTTTGAAGAATGGCCGAAGACATATTACCGTCAAGCATACACCGCCGTGCTGTTTGCCCTTCAATACGCCATCCCGTTGATTATAATCGCCATAGCGTACCTGCGAATCGCCTTTCGTCTAATCACATCTAAGTTACCAATGCGCACTTCTGTCAACGCTCGCGGACAAGTTGTCAGACAAAAGTCAAGAAGCGAAAATGTTCAGATCATACGTACACTAGCTGTGATTGTGATTCTTTTCATGGCCTGTATGTTGCCCAATCAGATTGCTTGGATGCTGTTCGATTTCGGTAGTGATTCTCAAAAGCACCTTTCGCATGCTTTCTGGATCAGCGCGGAAGCATTAATATTCCTCCACGCATGCGTGAACCCGATTGTATACGGGACATTAACAGGCCAGTTTCGTCAAGGGTATGTTCGGTATTTACGATACGCGTTCGGCTGCTGTCGAAAAACCCGAATAGGCTCACCCGATTTTTCGGAAATCCGGACACGTGACAAACACACAAGACGAAAGAGTAGTGGTGTTATAGTCCACGGCTCTCTGAAATACAAAAGTTTCGTCGACAGAAGTAAAACCATCAGTTTTCAATCGCAGTCCTCGCCAAGCTTATCCATAACCGGAGAAAGCAACAGCGTTCATGGAGGCTCTCCTTCTGCTCGGCATCAACATAATACAAAGATCCAAGCAGCGAAAGTCAACAAGCAGAATTGCACGAAAACGAAAGTACTTTTGAAATTATCTTTTGCAAACTCTTCTTTGGACATGTCTGATGAGGAACATAGTGTTCGGGACACGAAATTGTAATTGATGTAATCCGTGTTAGTTGAAGATAAAAACGTTCTGCTCCAAACACCGCATGAAAATTGAATTTACTGTATATTTGATTTTCGTCAAAGGCGAGGTCAATTTATGACCATAGCTTTGATCCAACCTTTGATGCGCGTCTAAAATTAGTCAAATATGTCATGGTTTTTTATATATGTTTGATTAATGTCAAAAGCGAAGTCAAAAGAATCAAATATAACCAGCTTTGACGCAAGTCAAAAGAGTAATCAAATAAGCTAAGGATTTGCAATACATTTGATCCTTGTCAAAAGCGAGAGATCAAAAATGTCAATAGCTTTGACGCAACCCTTGATGCGCGTCAGAGACGTTCAGACTCCACAGCTTTGCCTACTTTACGGCTTTGTTTAACTTTGATCCTAGGTCAAAGGACGTGGTCAAGGGAAAAAAATCAACTTATAAACACCCTGTGTTAATTTCGTTATTTTCCTGTTGAACTGAAGGTGGCTCAAAAGTTTCTAGCACTTTCCAAGACGTAGATTGTGATGGGTCAATATTACCCGCGCTCATAATCAGTTGATACTACAATCATGGTATCCCAAAACTGCCCAATCATTGGAGACGTTGTCATTTTGGTGACACAATAGGTTACCTTAGCATCACTATGACTGGCTAAAAACAACCTTGATATTATTATATTTAAGATAACGGCCGAAGAAAGCAGATTTTTCTATTGTCGAATTTCGTTAAGCAGGACAAGATGCAACTTTTAATTTTGCAAAAGTTAAACAAAACACCTGTAGATGGGGCTCAGAGCCACGTTAACTTTTCAAAAGAAAAAGCGCCAGTATCTGTCTCAATTTTTATAGCTGAAAAGCAAAGGTTTACACGAGGACTTTGATTCATCACACTGTAAGTATATAAAAGATAAAGCAGCCGTTTCCAACTCCCTTTTCATAATCTAAAGGATGAGGTACGAAATTCGCGACTTTTAAAAAGAAAAAAATCTCGTCTCGCGGTCGCTTGTGGGACTGTTATGATGAGAAGTCATACAGACCCCAGTAACGATCCCACGGGACACTGCGGGGTGAGACTCGCTCCAGATTTCTTCTCGTGACGTCATAACCGTGTATATACGTCTAGTCATCCAATCGAACACGCACTATATCATAGACGACCGTAACACATGTCGTTCGTTATATGTTATTTTGAAAGCTTCTCAAACCAGGTCATACCTATCTGCCGAGAGAACCGATCTGCAAACAGAGGCGACCGCTATAGAATAAGAAACGATCTACCCGGCCATTCCAGACATGAAACCAATACTACCTAAACTCTCTCCGTTATCGACCAGAGACATGGTCGATATGGACTGCGAGGAATGGGACGTGAATCTACTCACACATGCGCAAGTTATCACCCATTTTAAGCCAATTCGCAGTAATAGATTCTATTGAATGTCGTTCTTAGCTGTTTCTTTTGAACGTTCAGTGTTAAATGAATTTATCGGTGAAATTATAGCGTCCTCGTGATCAGTGTTTCCGCTTGCTATGTGGTCTACATGTAGCTCGATACCCTTCAACTTTTTTGTTCCAAGACCACCTGCGATCATTATACGCTCTCTTTTCCTGGATCGAGGGCGAGATAGTCCCCCGGGGTACACCCCTGCGTGACCTATGATGGTTACGGCGCCTCAAAGGGTATATAGTTTTTAAGCCAGTCTAGTCTGAATTTGACCATTTTAATTTGGTCTCAAAAAATGTCCGCACACTCCGGTCCGCCCACGCTCTCTTTTCCGGCTAGCGAGAGAGATTAGCCCCTTGCGGGTACCCCGCTGTACAAACTATATAGTTATGGGGCTTCAGAGGGTATGGTTTTGAAGCCATTTTGGTCTGAAAAATGTTTGCGCAATCCGGTTAACAATGAGGAATTAAGAACCTTTTTCTAACTTCAGCGAACATTTTATTTTTTCTAATTCATGTCGCTCTTGAGAAAAGTATGTTGTCTAAACCGACGCACTTGCTGGGTAAGGCCTTGTCTGAAAATAGTGCGTCGATTTAAAGATCAGGTTTGAAAAAGAGTAGAGAAAACAGCGTTTTCTGGTCTTAAAAAAGTAGGGCTTTTCGACGCGCCGCACACCCCCACCCAAATGTTCATGGAACACCTCCTCTGGCAGATGGAAAAACACCATTACAACCGGCTTCTCGGGAAAAAAATGAGGGAAAGAGGTTTTAGAGTTTTAGCAGTAAGATAGAATTCTCCATTCTTGTAGCTCTTTCCGGTGTTAACCATGAAAAAAACTCTCGCGTGTTTTGCCATCACGCCCTAACAAAGTTAAGTTATTTTACATGTGTTAAAATGCCTAATGGCTGACTACCTAACTACCTATAAATTTCTTTCCAGAAGGTACGAAAAGGGAGGCCCTGTCCGGTATCTACGGTCACAACTAAAGTTTCGAACTTTTTATTGAGAATTTTATTCAGATTTAAATTTGCGTTTTTAATTATTTTAGGAGACAAACTCGAAAGGGATAATCTCTTTTGTCTCCTTCTCACCTTTCATTTCATTTGAAGTTGAATTTGAATTGAGAATAAACAGTTATGTTATGTTATCACAATCCGTAAATAGATTAAGGGCCCATTAACCGATTTTTTCAAGCCGTTGCTAGGGAAAATTTATTCTCATATAACCTCGTCATTTTTAGTTACTTCAGCGTTATTTCATGTGTTT